GCGACCACTGCACTCCAGTCTGGGCGACAGAGTGAGACTCCGACTCAAAAAAAAAAAAAGTTTTCATTTGCATCCTTTGATGTCATTTTTGCTTCTGATAAGTATTCCAATTTAGCCAGTGATATCGCTAGAATTTCTGAAAGGGAAGTGTGAGGAGTGGCAAGTGTCTAGGGCATCTGGCCCAGTGGGCACACTGTTTTTACTAACAGTGTCTTTAATTAGGTAGCTTGGGGAGGAGTCAGGAGATGATAGGGAAGGCAGGGGTGAACCAGAGGGATGGCCCGGCCACACCAGGAACTCCTGCTAACCAGAGCACAGAACATCCTCTCCATTCTCTCTGATATTGTGCGTATTCAGAGAAATCACCCAGAACTACACAGTCCCAGCTGAAATCGGGTTGACTTTCCCTCTCAACCTCAGATTTAAACACTTCTAGGGAATTAATTAAGAATTAATTTCAGGGTGCTTTTGAGTTCTCAAATTTGTCCTGTCATGTTTACCTAAAAGTAATCATAAAACATCTCATATACTTAGGGAAAAGTGATTCTTAACATCTTGTAAGAAATTGAAATTAAGATTTATTCATCAGTCCCATGTCTTCGTTTGCCTATCCATGACAAATATGGGATCCCTACAAAGGATGAAGGATCCCATATTCAACCCAAAACAATTGGCAACTCCCACATATATTGTCTAAGGAAACAAAGTACCTAATTTTTGTTAAAATGTTTTGTGAGCTAGATCACGAATATTTTTAATATTCGAAAAACTTGAGAACCTGTTTCCTTTAAATGCATGTATTTTCATATAGCTAATGTAAGGTTTCTTAAAAATGATAATCAAAATCCATCATCAATTATTAATAAAATAGAATTTAGTATCAGCAGATGCAAATGCCATTTAAATGCTCTTTCAGTGGTACTACTTTTTTGGGGGGATGGGGGTAGTTTTACTGGTATTTTTTAAGCCTAACTGTTTTTAAAGCCTAGCATATATCTATGCTCATGTCAAATGTGAATGTCTTATTTTTAATATAGCCCAGACTTATATAAGTAAGGAAAGTAATATTGCATACGTAACTTTCCTTCTGAAAATGCTATTTTTTATTTTAATCTACACACAATTTTTAGTGAAACTTATTCCATAATGTTTAGAAATATTTATATCGCTTTTTATCAAATTGTATAGTTCTTGGGTTCACATTCTGATGATCCTCACTAAGAATGATATAAAGACAAATCTCTGACGTATATGCTAATAACACTTGGTACATTTGAAGAATGTTAGCTTTTAGTTAAAGGAATGTTTTTTGCTTTTTGGTTTTTTTTGAGTTGGAGCCTCACTCTGTCGCCCAGACTGGAGTGCAATGGCCGCTCCCAGCCCCCGCAGCCTCGACCTGCTGGGCTCGGGCGATCCTTCCGCCTCAGCCTTCCAAGTGGCCGGAATTACAGGCGCGCACTACCACGCCCAGCTAATTTTTTAATTTTATTGTGGAGATGAGGTCTCGCCTGCCCAGGCGGGTCTCAAACCCGCGGGCTCAGGCAATCCACTCACCGGAATGTTTATTTTTTAATAAGCATTATAAGTAGAGCTAAATTAAAGATTTCAGTAGTTAACATAACACTGTTTTACTAAATTTAGTTCTTTTTTGATATTGAATCCTTGAGAAAGTCTGTCATCATCACAGTCTAATTATTTGAGGGTATAATAATTAGAATAACTTTTGAATCAAATATATTCTCTTAAATTAAAAATTAAGGCTGGGCATGGTGGATCACACCTGAAATCCCAGCACGTTGGGAAGCTGAGGTGAGAAGATTGATTGAGCCCAGGAGTTTGAGATAGCAAAACGTCATCTCTACAAAAAATTGGCTGGGCATGGTGGCACACACCTATAGTCCCAGCTACTCAGGAGGCTGAAGCAAGAGGATAGCCTGAGCCCAGGAGGTTGAGGCTTTGGTGAGCCATGAGCGTGCTACTGCATTCCAGCCTGGGCAACAGAGTGAGACCCCAACTTTAAAATAATTTATTAACTATTACAAATTAATTTCAAGGTTCTTCAATTTAAGAAGGGGAAATTACAGGAATAACTTGCATTAGAAGTATCTTGAGAATTTCCTCTGAGAGTTTCACATGTGCAGTAAACGCAGGGAGGATCGCCCGTTTGCCCTTTCTCTCCCCATGTTGCTTTTCCTTTGAATTTCAGTTAACTTCTATGACACAGAAGTTGTAACAGAGAGAAGGCAAATATAATTAGCACCTGTCAAAAAGGGCTGCCACAGGGAGGTTAGAGAGAGAGAGCATCAGAGGCTGGGTCTTGTCGGCTTTACAGACCAGGGATGTACTGACACACCGAGCTTTGGAAGGTTCTAAGCATGACGTGGCATGATCCAGGTGTGTTTTATGAAGATCACTCTGGCTGTGCATGGAGAACAGATTGTAGGGAGGCAAGAGTGGAAGTAGGGCTGCCCTTTTGGAGGCTGTTATAGATGAAGGGCAGTGGGACACCTTGGTGTGGGATGATGACAACAGGAACAGAGCAAAGTGGCCTGAGATGGGATCTGTTTTGGAAATAGAACTGTTCGGACTTGCCGGTATTGGGATGTGGGAAAACAGAGAAATCAGGAATGACCCTGAGTGTTTGGGCCTGAATCTCTACGTAGATGATAGAAACAGGTTGGGAGGAGAATGATGTGAGGAGGTTTTGTTTCCCAGATAGATTGGAGATGACTATTGGGACACCCACATGGAAATGCCAGTGCACAGCTGGACGTGTGTGGTTGGATTGCAGTAGAAAGGCTGAAGAGAGAAACCTGGAGGGTCTTCAGCACGGGGTGGTCTAGGAAGCAGTCAGTCAGGGAGCCTCTGAACGCAAGATGAGGAGAGGCCCAGGCATCTGGGCTCCAAGGAAGCTGCACAGCAATGCTGGTGAGGCTGGAGGAGACAGGACGGTGGGGCGGGGAGGCCCTGGGAAGACCCATTCGAGAAGGAAAGGACATTAGCATTGGGCCGTGCTGCTGACAAGGTGTCAGGATGGCATTCACGCAACTTGGCTTTGGCAAAAGCCTGAAGGTCTCCAGTGACTTGATAAGGACCTGCTTGAAGTGTGTCGAGGAGGGGATGTGATGTGAGCAGGTGGAGGCGGCAAGGGCAGATGAGGCTTCCCAGAGGATTTGCAGCAGGAAGGTAGGCGAGGTCAAGAGAAGGTTTCCCTTAAGAGGAAAAGCACAGACGCCTGCCTGAATGCAGAGGGCCTGAACCATGCGGGACAGCAGGGGTAGACGGCAAGACCCGGAGAAGGAAGCTGCTGCTTGCAGGAAGCCAGTCCTTGAGAAGGTAAAGAGGGGTGGGATCCAGAACACCAGACAGACCAGACTGCCCCCCGCGTGGTGAGCAGGCAGAAAGGCAGAGCACAGGTGCAGACACAGGTGAGTTTTCAGACTTGGTGGCGGAGAGGCAGAGGGCTTGCTTGCACAGCCTTTTAACTCAAATGGGTCGAGTGAATTGGTGACTCACATGAGGGTGATCATCTAATTTTGCAGTTAACTAACCCATCTTCTGTTTATGGTATTGTTCATGGATATGATGAACCATGATAGACGATAAAGTTCTTGTGACCTCGAGCCCAAGTGATACAATTATCTAGTTCACAAACCAGAAGTGTAAGGGGGCATTTCACACCAGATGTCAGAAGCAAAAGAAATCTAAGGCCGGGCACGGTGACGCACACCTATAATCCCAGCACTTTGGGAGGCCGAGGTGAGAGGCTTGCCTGAGCCCGTGGGTCCAAGACCAGCCTGGTCAACTTGGCAAG